AGCAATAAAACAAATTTTTTAAAAAACTATTCTTTGTGATTTCGGATGTGATAATAGTTAAAGTTTAGAAAAAATAGGAACGAACGACCCTTTGAATCCACACTATGCACAATCAAGGGTGTGCACACACAAGGAGCACGGACACACAAAACCTCCCTGGCGCTCTGCTTCAGACCCTCACTCCTCCACGGGAGGCTGACACCACACCCATATGAAGGAGTTGATCACCCTGAAATGTTAAGGTCAGAGTTACAGTGCATAGAATCACCCACCATTGGTTTTCCTCAACTCCTCCACTAGGCAGCGGGCTTCCTCTTGAACCCGGTCCTCAATGTTCCTCTTCCCCATGCCCAGATTCCGCAGGGTCATGAGGGAGAAGCGCCGGATCTCCTTCCATCTCTTTCCATTGCTGAAAATGATTCCTACAAGGAGGGAAAAGAAATTGGCAGGGAGGTCCCAGACAAGGAGGAGGAAGCTGACCCTTGGCGTCCACACCGAGGGGCCAAGCTTTCTGAAGAGATCTTCAAATTCCTATTTTCCATCCTCCCCATCCCTATTCCACACGCACACCTACCAAACCCTTGGCTAACTTTCTCAAACACTGGGAAACTGCCTCTTCCAGCAAACTCCTCGCCCCGGTCGATCAGGGCTTCCTTGATGGCCTCGTACCCGTGCAGCACCACCGTGGGCTTCATGCCAAAGTACACAGTGAACACCGGGCCGTAGACTTTTGAGAGCTGGCAAGTGGAAAGGAGATTCAAATGTTAGCCAAAGAAGTCACTATTTGACAATATATTGTGCCTGATTCAGAATGATATTATCATCCTGGTTTATGTTTTTATTCGGTGACATGGCCTAGAATATTTCTGAAGTTACTACATAAATATGAGGGTGATTGTTAATAGCTGCCACTTATGTGCCCGGCAACAGCCTGGGTAAATTGTACACATATTACAATTAATCTTCAAAGCAGCATCGTCAGCGGTTCATTTGCCCCACTTAACAATAAGGAAACGGATGTCAGAGAATTTCAGTGCATTTTCTGCATCCCCTAACTGCTATGTACAGATTGAAATTTGAGCCTCTGTTTATGAAACCTCAGATCCTTTAGCAATATGTCAATCTCCAATGATCCCACCTGCTCCTTCAGGATCACCCGGGGAGCTCTTGCCATCAGAATTCTGATTCAGTAGCCCTGTGATGAGTCCTGGAACCCTATCCTTAAAAGAAACTCACCCTGGCCCTAACCGGTTTGGCTCAGTGGATAGAG